AGGACATCAAAAAATTCTGGTTGAATCCTCCACTCCAGTGTCTCTCTAACGCTTCATAGACAGCCTTCAGTTCAGCCGTCCCACACCGCCCCTGACCCTCCACACTAACCGGTCTGACCGGCGCCGGTCTCACAGCTCTCCTGTCGAACGATGCAGCGTTGACCCAGGTCAGTTCTGGACTGGGGAGTGGGGAGGGCGAGAGGGGTGCAGCGAGCGAGCAGAGTGCGTGGTCAGCCGTTTGTGCTGTCGATATGGGTTTGTGGAATGCTGCCGCCGAATGCGATTCATTGACGTCAAGTTTCATGCGAACCCTAATGATGCGAGCAGTGAGACGCATCTTTTTCAGTCAGACATTCAAGTCGAAATCCGGATGTAATATGTATACGTAGCCCTCCCGCTTAAAAATCACATGGATTGTATCAATTGGATCAATTGCAGATCATAAGAGCTCCAGCTCCATATGACACTCAGTGTAATGATTTAGATAAATTACATTTCACGAAACAACGATATTTGCAAAGGACTATAAGTCTGGCCGCAGCATGGATCTAATAGCTCATTCCGTCATTCCCAAAAATTGAAGTATGTTTAGATGTCAGATGTAGACTACGTAAAATATAAGGACGAGACGAGCAAACAAATTGTATAATCACGTAAGGAGTCATGTCCACTTATTTATATACTGCATTATGGCCGTTATGTTACCAAAAACTTTCTTGTAATGTGACATGTGGTAGCCATGATGCGTGCATTACATTATGAGCTCTCTTTTAGCTTTTTAAACAAACAAACGAATGCTCAGACGCCCTTGTACTTGCAACTACTGTCCAGATTCGTGACAGTGATGAACTAGGTGAATAATGCACGCCGTCTCCTACACGGCATGCTATGACGTGCGAAAGGTAACAGATCAAATCTGGCGACAGCATGTCTTGAAAAGGACGCAAAATCCTATGGCCGGGACATGGTTAAACGTGGTTAGGTTACATCACCATGACGACATAGGTACTCACAAACATTTTCGCTTTTCTGAACCAACATTTTATAATGGGATGGAACGCTGTTTAGGCATCACGCAACTAATTTATCATTTTTTATGAGAAAGGAGACTACTGTTAGTATCTTATGAGCTACAGTTTCAGATCACGTCACCAATGACGTAAGCGGAACGGTTTAACGACGAACGTCGAGCGCCTGTTCGGAGTTGATAATGCACGTTCCATTTTCATCGCTCCACATGGCGCGATACTGACGTGTGCACTATGCAAGCGATTTACAACGCAAGACTAAAACCAGCATTCATGAGACACATGCAACTTGCACAATGCACTGAACACCTAACAGGTCACGTAATTTGTAAGTCTGCAACAAAGATAAAATGTCTGTGGTTCAGCGCAGTTATTGAGAGTGGCTAGGTAACTTTACCAGATGATGTTACTTATCATCGTACTATAAGCTAAGAATTATAAACGCAATGAACTATATAATGGTGGGAGTCACTGGGGGAAAAAAAACATTTTGTCTGACGGTATAAGCAGCTTTTTTAGTGTCACAACAGTCATGGCATTGTGCAAAAACAAAATCTTGCAGATCTTACAAAAATGATCGACGTGAATACGTGAATCATTTTCGTAAGAATTTTCTTAAGTTTGACCTACTTCTTAACCCGCGAACCAGTGGCGGTCTCAGCCAACTTCGCCCTAGTGGGGGGGGGGGGGGCATATGTTACCACCCACCTCTAACTCAAAAACTAAGAGGGCTAGAAAGACGCGGTAAAAAGCAGTCGATAGCTCTCAATGCGTACGTTTGAAAGTATTTTTTGTCATTTTTCACCTTAGAGCAATATTGGGGCCACCAGAGGTCATCAAAGGTCAAAATTTGCCAATTGTTATTATATTTTTCAGAAAACATGCCGCTATCTCAGGAACTATGTTAGCTAGAAAAACGCATGAAAGAGCAATCAATAGCTTTTGCACTTTTCTGTTGAAAAGGTCATTATCAATATTGACCTCAGGTCAACGGTTTAGCCTCCAGAGGGCAAAAACTCCAAAAATAGCTGTTTTTACGAAAAGTGTTTTTCGACAATAACTTTCGATTACAAAAAGCCACGACATTTTTATTGCCAGAATCGTGTTCCCCTCGCCGAGACGCGTGGAATGAACTATAATAACTTGAAAATTTGACCTCAGGTCAAGGTCATGACCTGACCGGAAAAGGTCATGTTGCATATCAGTCGATGCGTCTCAACGAGACAAACACAAAGAGAGCATCCCCAGCGTTCTATCTCTTTCCAATCGCGAGTTATTGGCAAAAAACTGTTTGTAGCCTCAAATGACCTCGGATGACCTTTCTAGAGGCTATCAGCAAAAATGACACCTTGGTCATCACGAGTGGACTAAATCGTTGTGATTCTGAAATATTTGGACTGTTCCTATGCGTACACACGGATCTAGAGGCATTTTCATTTTTCTCCATTGACTTGTAATGGAAAGGTCACGCCACTGCCCTGACCTTAGGTCACGGATATAAAAAATCCGAGATATACAAATTGTAGGCGCCCATAACAGCATGCAATCCACCAAGTTTAAAACCTTTCTGACAAACACTGCAGGCTGGACATGATTGCAAACTTTTTTAGGCTTGGTCAGTTAACTTGACCTGGTGACCTGACCTGACATGACCTGGGGTCAAAAATTTTACACATTGTCCAAAATTGATGTACCAAAAGCTACCCCAAGCGGCGCGGCGCTACGCGCCGCGGTTTTTTATTCACACGCAAAAAACGCGACAGGGTGGTAACATATGCCCCCCCCCCCCACTGGGGCGAAGGTTAAGTTTTTTTTATTCACGTGAACTCCGTCGATAAAAAACTTAAGAAGTGTCGACGTGAATACCAAATTATACTTATACGAAAGAAAATCGACTTACGAAGTCGACGTGAATACGGCCTGTTTTGAACGTGTCGCCGGAGGACCATCGTTTTAATGTATGAACTGGAAATACTATAATGAAATGAAATAATATATTTGATGATAAAGCAAATAAAGGAGTTCGAGACGAGACGATATCAAGACAGCAGATTGCGAATGTAATAGATCGATACGATACGAGTTAGCGCTAATTAGGACGATTATCATGAGAGCACAACATCTTTGGAATTCCATTCATTCATTTTTTGATGAAAAATAAACAAAGCGCGTGACGGCTAGAGCATTCGCATAATAAGGTATGCCACTTCCAAACTCGCAGAATAAATACACACGATATACACAATTCACAATCCACATACAGGCGTCTCATTGAAGTCAGTGCGACTTGTTCCCAACATCGCCGGCCCTGATTTAGTGTACCTTTCTAACTAAATCACCTATGAACATTCTTCAAGAACACACAGTCGCACTGCCGGCCGAGTTTTATGTCCACTTGCTGTTTTGATCTCTGCCGCCCGCACCCTTCCGTCACTGCCATGTAGCGGGCGAATGACACGGCCTAGTGTCCACATACCGCGGGGCACGTTATCCTCTGCGACGAGTACCAAATCTCCTGTTTGGATGTCGCGTTCTTCTTGTGACCACTTGGACCTCACTGTGAGCATTGGGAGGTACTCACGCCTCCACCGCCGCCAAAAGTGGTCTACCAAGCGTTGAGTGTGGCGCCAACGTTTTCTGGACGTTATGTCTGAGTCAGAGAACACCCCAGGAGGTAGATTCAGAGAGGCGCGGCCGATTAGAAAGTGGTTAGGAGTGAGTGCCTCTAAGTCTGCAGAATCTTCACTCACATGAGTGAGCGGCCGACTGTTCAGAAGCCCTTCTACCTCCGTCATGAATGTCAGCAGCATCTCATCCGTCAGGCGCTGTCGTCCGATGATCGCCATTAGTGCGCGCTTCACGGAACGAATCAACCTTTCCCAGGCTCCTCCAAAGTGAGGGGAAACTGGCGGATTGAAGCGCCACTCGACGTTTTGTGCAGACATCTCATCTGCTATCTTCGATTGGTTCCACCGATGAAGACACTTCTTTAGTTCACGCTCAGCAGCTCTCATGTTTGTCCCATTGTCTGAATAAATCACTCGTGGATGTCCTCTTCTGGCCATCATCCTTCTCAGACACATTATCAACGAGTCAGTGTCTAGAGTGTGTGATACTTCAAGATGCACGGCTCTGGTACTGAGACAAGTGAAGATACATCCGTACCTCTTTTCATTTTTCCCGTTTTTCTTGACTAGTATCGGTCCGAAAAAGTCCACTCCTACTGCACTAAAGGGCGGACTGTCGGAGCTGACCCGTGACCGGGGCAAATCTGCCATTCGTGGGGTTCTTGGCTTCACCCGTGCTCGCACGCAAACAGAGCATTTAAACGTGTAGGCTCTGACTGATGCACGCCCTCTCAAGATCCAGTACCTTTGTCGAATGTCGCTCAGCACATGTTCAGCTCCAGCGTGAGCGAGTGCTCGATGACGGTCCGTCACGATCAGTCTTGTGATATGATGTTTCGATGGTAATATAACTTGATGCTGAGCTTCGTATGCCAGTGCGGATGCATGACGCAGTCTCCCTCCGACACGGATCAGTCCTCGACTGTCCAGGAAGGGACTGAGTGGAAGGAGCTTGCTGGTGGCTGATACGTCTTGTCCTTTCATCAGACTGCCACGTTCATCTGGAAACTCTTCCTTTTGTGCTTCCAGACACCAGTGTGTTTCTGCCTCGTGCAGCTCGCTCAGTGATAGAGGACCACGTCGGCGTTCCTCTGGCGTCTTCCTACAGTTGTACAAAAATCTTTGGACCCAGGCTGTCACACGGAGGAGCTTTCCCCACTGCGAAAACTTCTGTGGGTCTATGGCGTGCGGCTCTCTCTCGTGTGTCACCGACGTCACAAAGGCGCGGCGCTCCTCACGGTCCGTTGAGCTCTCGTTCACGGTAACAACGTGATCAGCTGGCCATTCATCTTCAGGGTGGCTCAGGAACTCGGGCCCATTCAGCCAGCGGTCATTTTCCAGAAGCTCACGAAGACTGCAGCCGCGAGAGCACACGTCAGCAGGGTTGAGGATGCCTGGCACGTGCCTCCAAGCTTGCCGGTTCGACTCGTCCTGTATTTCAGCGACTCGGTTCGCTACAAAGTTCTGGTACTGGCGGCTCTCGCTGTTAATCCAGAGGAGTACAGTGCGAGAGTCTGACCAGAAGTGAGTCGAATGGATGTCGATATCCAGTTCTTGTTTGATGGCAGCTGCGGCTCGAACCGCCATCACGGCTGCTTGCAGCTCAAGGCGTGGGATGCTCAGCTGCCTCAAAGGTGCGACGCGATTCTTCGCTAGAATGAGCGAGCAGCTGACCTGGCCGTCCTCGTAGATTTGTCTCAGATAGGCAACCACACCGAACGCCCTTTCGCAGGCGTCTCCAAACAAATGAAGTTGGCAGGTTACCGGAACTCATCGTCTTTCTCTGTAGCAGCGGCGCACTCTGAATGCACTCAGATTCACCAGTTCGTCTGTCCACCTTTTCCAGACACTTCTGAGCCCTGTGTCCGCTATCAGCTGGTCCCACTCGTAGCCGGCTCTCCAAATGCTCTGCAGAAGACATTTGGCTGTGAGAACCCATGGCGCCAGCACTCCAAGAGGGTCAAAAATGGAGGAGACGCTGCTCAGGATGCCTCGTTTTGTGACTGGCTGGCTGATGGAAGTGACCCTGAATGTCAGTTCGTCTGACAGAGTGTCCCAGTGCACGCCTAGCGCGCGTTCGCACTTCCGGTCGTTGTCTCCGAGGTCACGAGAGGTCACACTGCGATCACCAGGCTCGATGCCTTGCAGTACTTCTTGAGATGAGCTGGCCCATTTTGAGAGTGAAAACCCACCCTTAGATAGAAGACTGCTCAGCGACTGTCGGAGCTCGATCGCCTCTTTTTCGTCTTCTACAGAGTCCAAATAATCATCTACGTAAAAACGCTTACGAACTGCGTCCGCTGCATCAGGATGCTCGTCCTGAAAGTCGTCGGCACATCTCCTCAAGACGTACGTAGCGGCACAGGGTGACGAAGTAGCACCGAAGACGAGTACCTGCATCTGGTAATGATCGGGCGCGCTGTCGATCCATGCCTCTCCACAAGAAGCGCAGCGCAGGCTGGTCAGCCTGCCGAACACGCACCTGATGAAACATGGCATTGATGTCTGCTGCTAGTGCGACCGGCCGCTGTCGAAACCGCAGCAGGATGCCGATCATGCTGTTTGTGAGGTCCGGTCCGGCAAGCAACTGCTGGTTCAGAGAGGTTCCGTCATGACGAGCAGCAGCGTCAAATACCACGCGGAGTTTTCCTGGTTTGTTCACGTTGAACACGGCGTGATGAGGAAGGTACCACTCACGCTTGTGTTCCTCCTTCAGCTCGTCTTCGGTCAGTTTCCTGGCATATCCCTTGTCGATATAGTCGTTTAAAGTAGCACAATATGCCTCAGAAAACTTTGAATCGCGATCCAGCTTCCTTTCCGTTGCCTTCAGTCTGGACAAGGCGCTGGAGACGTTTCCGTTCAGAGTGATCTCTGGTGACTTCCACAAGAGACCAGTCTCATAACGGTCGCCGGCCCGTTTAGTGGTCGAGTCCAGTAGATCGAGCGCTGTTTTGTCCTGCGTGCAGCGGTTTGGAGCATCATTGTATTTCGTCCCGAATGCCTCAGTTTTCCACCAATTCGTGACTTCTTCATGAAGCTCCTGATTCTCCATCAGCTTGACATGGTTGACCTGTCTGTCATCATCACCATCAGCAAGTCCTGCTGGCAGCTTTCCGGTCGCAACCCATCCTAGACGGGTCAAAACCGCCCAGGGTGAACCGGCCGGGCCCTCACGAACAGCACGCGGTACGATCAGCTCCAGCACATCTGACCCCAGAAGAATATCCACTGAAGCTGTAGTGATACCCGGCAAGTCCAAATCACACAGGTGCGGCCACTGCGTCTTGATAGCTGGCCAGTTCACGGCCGGCCCTGTAATATTCAAGACAGGGGTCGTCCTCGCATCGCGGACGCGGAACTGCTCAGTGGAGCCTCTGGGCTGCAGGTCAAACTCCACTCGGTACGACCGGTGGCTGCGAGTGCCGCTCACGGTGCTCAAACGGAGATTGTCGACGGGACCTGTCACTCCGAGGTCATTTGCCAGCTTCTCTGTGATCAGGGTGATCTGACTGCCCAGGTCGAGCATGACGTTGACAGTCCGCTGACCGCATGGGCCGCTCACTTGCAGCGGCAGAATCTGTAGCAGCACTTTGGCTCCATCTTCTTCTGTAGCGCTGCCGACGTGAGTTGGATTGTTCGTTGCCTCTGTGACGGCGGCTGTCAATTGTGACGGGAACACTCGCGGAGCGCCGTGCAACAGCGGGTGGTGCCAGCCAGTGCAGTCCGGTGCCGTGGTGCATCGCTGTCTTGATGGACACTTCCGAGCGATATGACCTTGACGGAGGCAAGCCCAGCACAGTCCGTGCTGACGCACTACCGACGCTCTCTCGTCTACAGGCAGCGATGCGAACTCCTGGCAGTGGGTCACCGTGTGGTCGCCCTTGCAACGCACGCAGACTGCTTTCGTGCCCGCCTCCGCCGCAGGAGGCGCTGCTGCAGTCACAGCTAAAGAGCTCCGCCAGTGCTGCATTGCCGCGTCGGTGCGTGGGCGTGAGTTTCGCTGTTTTTCTGTAAGTCGTTGCCGGTTGGAGGGTTCCCTTCGGTCGTTCTCTGGCTGCTCGTGCACTCCGATCGGGTCACACACCGCACGGCCCGCGTCCACATAGCTGCGAAGCCAGTCGTCGATATCTGAGAGCGACGGAGGAGATAATCCCATCCGTACGCAATGCTCTCCCCAGCGCCAGGCGATTCCTTGAGGGAGCTTGTTTACAGCCTGCCGCACATTCTGTGTCGCCCTCAGGTCGGCATCAAAGTGCATCATTTCCATCACTTTCACGGCGCTGTGAAGAGTGTTCGACAATTTCGAGAGCGCACCCAGATCGTTGTCACTGACTATCGGCTTCGTTGACATCAGTGCTCTCAAATTGGCGCTCACCACATGTCCTGGGTTGCCGAACTGGCGTTCGAGTTCAGCGAGCGCCTCTCCGTACAGGCCTCCATCGCACAGCAATCCGCGCACAGCTTCTCGGGCGTCGCCTCTCAGACATGACTGAAGGTGAACAAGCCGCTCGGTGTCTGTCAGTCCGGCATTGTTCTGTACCAGTGCCTTGAAGAGCGCACTCCATCGAGGCCATTCGAGCGGTGAGCCGTCGTATGTCTCTAATTTCAGCGTTTGTAGAGTGGGCGGATGACGGAACGCTTGTGTTGAGAGTCCTTTCGTTTGTTCCCCGTGCGCGTCGTCAGAGAGCTGAGTAATCCATTGGCGCGTACGCTCTAATGGCTCGTCGTTTCGGGCGTCGATAGGTGGCACTTGAGGGGTTTCACGTGTCGACGGAAGCACTGGCGCTGTAGCAGGTGACAAAAGACGCTGCATCTCTGGTCTAGTGGTGTCTCGGTTTCGCGATCGAGAGACACTTCGATTACCATTGATGCTGCGGGCGTCTTCCTCTAAAAGCGCTAGCTCCAGCTCGTCTTCCTCGGCCTTATCGCGAGCAGCCTGAGCTTCGGCGCGAGCCTCGGTCTCCGCCAGCCGTGCTCGCTGTCGGGCTGCCTCAGCTTTGGCGGCTGCTGCACGCTGTGCTTGACTGGCCCTCAGCTTGGACAGCTCCAGTCTCCGTCTCGCCGCGCTAACGGACGATCGTGATGAAGCTAGAGACGGTGCTGCGACGCTCCGAGTTTTCAGTGAAGTCGGAGAGTTTGGGGAACATGTGTCACTCATGATAAGACGCGAGGTAAGAAAATACCTTAGTTCATTACCAGCTACGTTACATTACGTTAGAATAAGAAATGCTACTGTTTACCAAACAAAGGTTACTTTAGATCCGGCCCGGAGGACCATGTTTTGAACGTGTCGCCGGAGGACCATCGTTTTAATGTATGAACTGGAAATACTATAATGAAATGAAATAATATATTTGATGATAAAGCAAATAAAGGAGTTCGAGACGAGACGATATCAAGACAGCAGATTGCGAATGTAATAGATCGATACGATACGAGTTAGCGCTAATTAGGACGATTATCATGAGAGCACAACATCTTTGGAATTCCATTCATTCATTTTTTGATGAAAAATAAACAAAGCGCGTGACGGCTAGAGCATTCGCATAATAAGGTATGCCACTTCCAAACTCGCAGAATAAATACACACGATATACACAATTAACAATCCACATACAGGCGTCTCATTGAAGTCAGTGCGACTTGTTCCCAACACGGCCCCTGTTTATTATAATATGTTAAATTAGGCCGTTTACTGCTAGTTTTTGAGGTTGGCCAATGAACAGCTTATTCTCTGCCATATTTGCATAGGTTTAAGTATAGCAGATGGCAAGTAAACAAACAACGCAATGTTCACAGAACTGTTTTTGTTTAGCCTCAAATCATGCACATTCCGATAGGCAGTGCATACCGATCATATTCGGATAAATGCAAATGATTAGACACGCCAGTAATCCTTTGTGAATTGATTCAACGATTCTCAGCATACTTTAGCCTTTCAAAAATGGGTGCACTGTTGTTGAAAAAAAAGATAGCTATGGACGTCATTGATTCCCAGAATAAGTGTAGCAAGACGAATGCAATATTAAATAATGATTTCACTGATACTGACGAAATGTCTCTATTGTAAAGCAAATTGAGCCATACTGATCCGTGTTGTTACTATAGCCAGGTATACGAGTTTCGCTTGGTAGTTATGACGTAGACCATAAGTTTCCACTTAAGACATTTTGCTCATATATGATAAGAGCACGTTTATTGGAGTTTTAATCCTGCGTCTTTGTTGAATTGCAGCCCTGTTGTCAGCGTGCCATTTCTGACAACGTGTGACTTTGTGAATCCCTTACTTCATTCCTTTCGGTTAGGTAAATATAGGTGCAGGGCGGTGCCTTTGAGCACATTGCTGCAGTTAGGCACGGAAAATCCATTGACTCAATCTGATTTTAGTTAATGGCAATTTTCTCTCATTGTCACATTCAAAGTAAACTTATTGTTTACAACCGGTACAGTCCATGTACGGTTCCCGATATTATGTAGAAACTTGCAAGCATGGCAATGAAATGAAGATTATTCCGCCGATTGTTTCACCAATGCAAGCCCGTGTCCTTGGAAGTGAACTGGAGTCGTGTGCCTTTAGGAGTCGGCGTCGCATCTTTTTCGTCTATGTCTTTGTAGCCATCGCAAATTTTCCTCTAAGATGCTACACCCGAATACGGCATGTTGGAAGGGCAAAACCCTGCGATTAGACAGGAAAACACGAAGTCCTTGTGGCGACAAGTACTGTTATCCAGAATAAAAATATGCCGTCGATCACGATAACGGGCTCAGTGCTCTTCGCTCGAAACTCGGAACTTCAAAGCATGGGCAAATGGATATAGGTCCATAAAAATACGTCGGCGCTTTAGGTGTTAAGCCTATAATTGATCATTGCAATTTATTTACGCACTTGTCTGATAATCAGCCGCTTCCCAAAAACCTATCTGCAGACATCGCTTTTGTGAAGTATAGAGTAATTAACCCACGAGCCGCTGGGGGGGGGGGGGCATAAAGTTGCCCCCCTCTTTACGTTTTGTGAAATATCTCCGAAACCTGATGAGCTACGAACGTGAAACTTGGCATAGCTTCAAATGAATACCTAAACAATGTTTGAGGAAAGTTTGGTGGTTGTAGCACCTAAGATGACGTCACAGTGACGTCATAAAGTTTTGCCGTTTTCCGATATGGACCGTTTCTGATGACGCTGAGCATGAAACTCAACTGTAAATGAACTAAACAGCACCTGCTGTCATCCTAAAACATCTAACTACACTTCCATCTAGTTCCCGACCAATAATCGGCCCTTTATATTCGGTCCCATAGATCTGATGTATCGTGAGGAATATGAGAGCCGCAAATCTATAATTTCACTTATGACGTCACTGTGACGTCATTTCAAATGGGATCGACACCAAATTTGGACACAACTTCGGCTAGGTATTCAGGAAGATGTGTGCAAAGTTTCGCTTCTCTATCTCTTCGCGTTGCGACGATATCGTCGCAGAAGTAAAGGGGGGGCAACTATATGCCCCCCCCCAGCGGCCGGCGGGTGGCGCGGAGGCCCAGCGGCCGCCGGATTAAGCAGGCGATGTTATTAACATTAACATTTTGTTAGAGACTTACATTATAATAAAGGACAGTTTCAGGACAGTTAGGCTGTATGTTTATATCTCCATACGAGTCGCATTCTAACACGTGATACTCATCTAGCTGTGCACTAGGCTATTGGCCATTGCATTTGCTGTCGATAGGCTATTTGGGCACAATTTTGCAAATATTTTAGCACGATTGATCACCTTTTACGGCCTCTGTCGTGAGCAAGGTAGATTTGGAATTGCTTTTGGAGTCTTTTAGCGACTCCAAGTCAGACCCTGCCCGAAATAATTGGTACATGACTCCTAAATGCGCTTTACTCCAACTAAATGTATAACTTTCACCATATTAAACTCTCGAGCAAAGCGCAAATATCAAACACATTACTCAAATATGAAGTATGAAAATGACAACCTTTTTGAGACATATTAAGAAAAGCTTCGTTTTTTACGAGTTTATGCGGGTTCATAGTTAGGGCTGCAGGGCAATGGGCATGCAGTTGGGCGTAAATATTTTTTTATTGATGAGTTTTTATTGTTTGCATGGTGTTCTTTGTTTGTTGTCGTCTTCGTTACTTTTATAAGGAATACATGTTTCCAAATGTGGTCATTTGAGAAAGTCAATATACTGAAGCGTTCAAACATCAAGGATTCAACTCTGTCCTAGAATCGCATGTTAAAAACTAGGAAGTGGGAACTAGGAACTACAAGGGACTGCAAAGGAGAAATTTCGTGACCTTCACGCGACTCGTTACGGACAAGGCACGCAATGCCTGCACATTAGGAAATTTTAGGACCTGCAAATGTTAGGACTGTTTCAACAAATGTCACTGGCAACGCTAGTGTGATTGAGGAAGTCATCCATACTAGGGCATTGGACAAAAAGATACCGAAGCTGAGGTATATCTATTATGGTCTCGATAATTTGTGTTCAGAACTTCGAGCCGCTTCTAATCCATTTTAATATTGAGTTCACTAGCGTTGTACCGAAATTCATGTTGTATCTGTTTCTTTGTTTAATAGAACAATCGCTATGACAATGAATGCCAAAAGGTGGTAGTAGGTGATTCGGGTAACCGCCTACCCATTGTAGAATGGAATGACAAGCTTCAATCCGTTTTGAACTGCAGAATGTCGACGATAAAGCAAAGTCATGAGTAGCACAACACTGTATATTGACACAAACACCATTATCGCTACCCTCTGACAATAAGTTATGAGCCATGCATGAAATAGTTTTCTGTGACCTGATACGATCCCCGGCACCGAGTCTGGGGAAGACTCGGTGCCGCGGGTTGCCGCTCGGTATGGGTGAATGTGTCAATTGTCGTGTTCTGCGTGACAGCAGACACGCAGACAGACAGACAGACAAGCAAGGCCCATCGTCGCGGCGCACATGCATGAACGTTGAGCTAGAGTCCAGACTCTATCAAAATGCCGCGATCCAAGCGAAAATATCCCCCGCGTCCGAAACGCTTACGGACAGGATCCAGTCTGTACATTCCACTACAGCTACGCCCTACACGCGTCCAAACGACATCCACAGAACGCACACCTAACCTGACCAACAAAGCATCAACGACACAAGAACTGGATATTGCGGTACGTTATGGTAAATGGCGGAGTCGAGCGCCCGGCAGCCGATGCTCGGTTTGACGCAGACTCCGTATCACATGGTGAGTAGGTGAGACAGCATTCTCAGCACGTCGCGGGCCGCACCAGCCGAGCGCCGCAGGACTCTGAGCTCGTCATACGGACCAAGCACTAGCCCTGCGGCGCAGCCGTCGAGCCGGTCCGACCCGCGCACGCGCCAAGTCTCACGTCGCGGACACCTAACCGCCTTTTGACCACCAGAGTCGCCGGGCTCTGAGAGGACGCGCGAGCAGCCGTCCTCCGCCACTGACCGAAACCCTACAGTCCCAGGGCTCTCCACCGCCTCGGGCGCCGGCCGCGCGCCAGCCGGCCCCCTGCGATCATCACTACAAGAATGTCCGACCGCCGGTGGCCGGCGCGGCTCAGAAGAGCAGCCGCACCGCCAGCAGCGAGGTCAGGAGGGCAGCCAGCGGGCCCTCGGTGAGTGCCGGCGCGCCGCTGCGAACGGCCGCCGTCTTGCCAGCGAAGCCGATGGTCTCGACCTCCTCCTCCTCGGGCTGGCTGAGGTACACCGAGCGTCCGTAGCGCGCCTGCGGTGGACGGTAATTGCGGCCGATCGGCGCCGGGTTCTTCTTCAGTGCGCGGAACAGCTCCAGCTGAGGGCACAGGTTGCCGGTCAGGTCATGGCGCAAATAACGGACATGTTGAATGACAAGTCGCGGATAAAAGGCCCAGTTTGGAACTTCGTGGTTTATGTTATGATTTGCCTTTTGTGATAAATTAGAAGGGCACACAGCTGCCACAATCACAGAATTATATAATTAGTTCGGCACGTCAATCTAACGCGTAAACCGGCTGCGACAGTAACCAGTAGTACTGGTTGACTATTGCAACATCTAAAAAAGTTCACAAAGAATGCTCGCTACGCATATGGCCTAGCTTCGCATGTGTGTTGCAATCCGTAGAAAAAGCAGCATCGATGTTTACATCAGGCTTTCGTCGTTCGGCTCACCTGTTTCTGTGTGATTTTGACCGTCTCGAGGAAGATGGTCCAGGTGACGACCTCGTTGCAGTTGGGAGTGGTGAGAGAGCCGTCGTAGCGGTAGAAGTCGTTGGTGTTCCAGGGCATCAGGTCCTGCAGCCGCGGCGGCTCGTCCACGCTCACTGAAGCGCCGCCCTTTACGATGCGCCGCAGCGCCGGCTCCAGGCGCTTCATGGCGCGGTTGTTGGCGCGGCTAACCTGTAAACAGAGGTCACGGCGAGTCAGCTATACGGTCATTACAGATTTCAGGCATCGTCCTGGCTAGTAAACCATCTCAAAGTTGGCTGGTACGGTGAATTTCGAAAGGATTTTCACAAGAGGGAAGACGTAATCAATGGAATGGGTTATCCTCTTGGGCGGTATTACACGCGTCGGGAAATACACTATGCTAGTCTTATTTTCAAGAACGATCTTTGCAAGCGGCAGCAAGTGGATATTAGCTGTTTGGTAGCATTTGGTGCACGTTAGGTGCAGATTCGTTGCAGATTTGGTCAAATTAGGTTCATTGTATTTCTTAAACGTTTCCCGTTTGTGTTGCAGAGATGCTTATACACCTCATTTTTCAAATTATCAGATACTATTTTCAATTAAAACACTGAAATAAATTCATGATATGAAGATCTTTGTTATAACAGAGATTAGGTGCAGATTTGGTCAACTTAGGCGCATTCATCAGAAAGCCTCTCGTGAAAACGGCTATAATGGGCACTAAAATGGCTGAAAGTATATTCTACTGGAATCTTCAAGGCTAGCAAGGGACCATTCCATGCGATAAACTCATGATCAGATGCGGACAGCAAACAGCAGTTGCGATTCTCCCTTACAAACAACAAAAAATGGACGTAAGAAGTTGAGTGTTGCCTTATATATCCTTGAACATTCCATCTCACTGAAAATCAACAGCCTTCATCTATATTATCGGGTACAAAACATTAGTATATTCCAATAAAATAACAAGCTATGTAATAATAAATAACAAGGCTGATGATGTGGTGGTTGATTGTAGCGCACCAACATGTGATATGGTGTCTTTGATATATGCATAAAGAAAAACCCGCCCCGACGACACATGGTTTTTCTTGACCAAGTGAGCCTAAGCAACTACTTGTTGAACTCAAAAACATTCTAGAAGCAGCCGGACCTGTCAGCACTCAGCACCCGAACACGCCGACATTCACGCTATCACAGCCGCCACTGCAGAAAAAAAATACCGCCCAGGAAAGGCTGACGGGCTGCTGACGCTGTATCTGATGTAATCGCAGGAGAAAGTGAGAATCCATGTTAATTCGCCGGCGCCACTCCTGCCGTCGATTTGTGAGGTGAATTTGTTGGCGCCGGACCGTAAAATGGCGGCCGGCCAGCGCTGCAGCAGTGTGGCAGGTCGGCTTTAGATGGGTGCTGTCCGGTTCGGGCCGGCCGGCTGACGCATCGAAACTGGTTCAGCGACAGCGAACGACAGACTAGACCACCGACCGGGCTGGTTTTTGTCCAAGTGTCGAGACTGCAGTAATGCGAAGCAATATAGACGTCCAAGTGCGACCAGTGGCCGGGTGAAGGTCCCTATAACGCTGGAATATATGACGCAGCATTGCTAAATTCGTAAGTGGCTCAAGAAAGCCATACTTGGAGTTGAAATAATATGACATGTTTATTTATAAATCAGGACAATGATCTATTTATATCTAATTAGCGAGCAGATATAGTAAGGTAGAGTGTCGACGAACTCAGTTCTGAGCGACCTTCAGGTGAGGAACCGACAGTTCCCTATATTGATCGTTTTTCCTCCCTGCTGCACATCCAGACCGGTTTGTCCTCACTGGCAATTCCAGCTGGGTATGGCACTGCGGTGCAGGGTTAACGGTCCACCGCTCATCACCATGACCTTACGGGACTCGAGGAAGGGGCGAGGCGAGGACAGGTACTGTTTGAAAAAAATCGCTGCTGCAACGGGCCTTATCTGTGTTGATAATTTATGGCCTGCAAGATCTTAGTTTATAGACTAGAGTGGGCCATGTGTAAACGCAGCTTGAATGGCTCGACTGTAGCATACGAATATAGGTGTGTCAAGACATGCCAGCGGCACATACGGGCCGGAGCATCAATCATCGTTCATCAGTGATATAGCAAAGGACTGACTTCAAACACTTTGGAGCTTACATTTAAATTTTAATGGCATGATGAATGAGAAAGATGGCTTAAATACATATGTGCGGAGTGCATAGCAAACAATGCAGTGCAACAGTATGACTCAATTGAATACAAATGTAGTGGAGTGACCGCGGGAATATCATCCTTATCTGGATGCTCAGTGACGTGCTATAGCCTCAGAGAGGCGGCACGTTCTGAGCTGACGTATGCACCCCGAACATGATGCTGACGTACCTCGAACATGATGCCCATGACAGCCAGTCCGTCGGGATGCTGCAGCGCTTCAGACAGCTCGTCGTACTTGGTGTTCTGTGAGACGATGTGCATCTCCAGCGGGTAGCTGCGGGAGGGGATCCGGCTCAGTCGTGTGTAGAATGCAAGGTCAAACACGCACACGTTTTGGATAACACCATGAAGTGTGTACGCTCGGGTGGGCAAAGTCAGGTAAAAATTGTGTGTTTGATAGTGTTTCAAGACGATGTTTGAGAGCGGAATAAACACGCATTGTTCGTAGGTGAAACATTGAACAGTTAAAGTGTAACATTCCAAATTGTTCAATAAGCGTAGCTGACGTCTGCTTACAACTAGAGCCTCTATCAGTTCACACTTTTTTAATACAGTTTTATCCCAAACGCCATTCCCACCAAATAACCCGCCACCCTTTCGATCATTTTCATTTCATGACCTTGGCGTTTCCCGTCTAATTTGTGCTAGAACTGTCAGGTCACTGGGTAACCCTATCCGATCTTTGGAGTGTGTCCAAGCCCCCGTGCCCACGTTCCGCCAGTTCCCGTATGTACTATTGCTTCCAAATTAAGCTTGATTCGCGCCTGGCTCTAGTACTGCATTGAATACCCTCCCGAACCCCTCCCGTATCGCCAGGGTAGCTGTCCCGGTGAGGTGCGTGTAAGACTGAAGCAGTGCGTGGACCTTGTGACTGTCAGTCCGCGCCTGGGGCAGGGACACGGGTGTGACCTGTAATAATGGCGGGCACGTGAGCGTGATGCATAGCTGGGTCACATTCTATCCAATCAGGGATGATGAGTGCGCCACCGTGCTGCAGTGGTCAGGCCGATGATCGGGTGGGGAGCGCTGGATGGGCGTGTTACGGGTGAGAAAATATTTGGCACGCTTGGCAACTTGAGTGCTACACGGACTTACGCTAAACCTTTTCACATTCTCAGAAGCAGGGAATCAATTTACGTCCTAGACGTCGCTGGCCGAGGAGAGTGCCTTCTCATACATTTTTTTTTCCGATTGCACGAAGCAAGCAAACAATAGTTTTTTTAGATTTTCGAGCTCGAACCGCTTACCACGTGTCGCATACGTGGCCCAGGAGCCGAGTTAGTAGGGGGAGGGGAGGGGAGGTGGTTGGCGCAAGCACCTGCTTGGCGAGGGTTAATAATTATCTGATAAATATTTATAATATATGTTCAGATTATACTGACATTATTATTTTAAATCATACTGTGCTTATGATTATTACACGCAATATTAAAACTAACGCAGTCAAATCACCCCGCAGTAGAGCAAAAAACATTCTCAGACACCGGTCAAGCCCGGGCCGGGGTCGGATCACTGCCCTCGCTTCACAGCGACTTCTTTCTCGGCCGCTGGTCTCGCCCGCCGGCCATATGTGCCCTTGACCTTTGACCTACGATGCGGGTCCTGGCTGAATTCCGTTCCGATCGCGCGTCCAGCTGCACCACGGTTGCGGCCCGTCTCTCGCCCGGCGCTGCGCCCGAGCGCCGGGTCATGCCTCTGACGTCAGAGGCGCCCGAGGCCAAAATCGCCGAACGCTGACCGACCACAGGTCACGTCCGCATCCCTACCCGCGCGTTTGAAACTCCCGGATGACACAAGGCCCCGGATGTCAAACCTCTGGTCTATCGCACGGATCGCCGAGCCGGGTATCTCGGTAAAACTCGGTCTTCGGTAGGGTATTCACTACAGTACTGGAGCGAAGTGAGGATCAAGCTTAATTTGGAAGCAATAATACAGGCGCCTGGGATCGCCAGATGCACTCAGCGCACCTGTTCAAATTCCACTGACGAGCGGTCAACATGAAAACAGTTTAGCACCGGTATGCTTTAGGAGAGTGCATTGTGGTCAAAGGTCTAGGAGAAATAGCTCGAGTATCAATTTACCTGAGTTTGTGTAGGGAGTAACTATTTCATCCCGTGAGCAATCAAGTGTGAGATCAGATTTACTCCGGCGTGAAACACTCCGAAAAACAATAAACGATGCTACCAGTCGACGCTAACAGATTAAGGAGAAGTGTTTTGCAGTGGATGGGTCGGAGGGTCGATTGAAGCGATTCCGAAGGGGAAGGACAGCCAAGAACGTGTTCCAGAATAGAAAAACGGCGCGCGCGGTGTTGATTGGCCGGGTGATGAAAACACTGGCTCAGTTTCGCGATCGTTCGGGCGGGGCGGGGAGTGCAGGAGAGACAGGAGCGGCTTGACGTCAGGGCAGTCACGGTAGAGCTGGCACCAGAGGCTGCCAGGAAAATGACGCTGTTCAGGCCTAGTGACCTAGGTCTCCGAAAGGGGTGCATAGCTCCCGCCGTCAATCAGTAGTCTATACTGTGTAGTGTGTATTCTCCAGTCACTTGTCACGAAGTTTATGCCTTTCATTAATTCGTTCGTAAAACGTTGAAAACGTTGCGGCCCTTCGCTCCCCCTTCCCACTCCACCGCCATTACAAATGTCCCCAGCCTTCCTGTATCGCTTTATGAGCCTTTCCTCTATCACAAGTCCTCCAGTGACCTACGCGTCTTCATCCACCTGTGAACGCTCCACCTTTCCCCATAACGCGCCGACCATTTTCCCGTTCAACCGAGGCCTACCTCTCTCCATCGATGGTGTGCTCGGAGCCGCGGTAGTCCATCCGTCCCCAGTGGAAGTGGAAGTTAATCACACGGTACTCGCCGGGAAGACCGCCGCTGCTGATCTTGGGTGTTCTCTCCCAGTCCAGAGCCGCTTTCGCTGTGATCATGGACCAATCACATGTCAGCGAAAGGCGAGAACACGCGCTTCGTTGTGCTGCGATTCGACATTCCTCAAGTGACATCATATTAGACGCGTTTACATAGGGTTTGTTGCAAGCTTATATCTCCGTCCGTGATGTTGCAAAAGATGCCAATGGTGCTGAACAATTTACAAAATGATCCCCTCTAAATATTTGAAGACCACTGCATCGAAATTATCGCCAAATTAACGAGCTAGAGCCTCGTCAAATATGCTATGTAAACCGGGTTATTGATGGGCCCCAACGCCAGTGGTAACGGTTCGCGAGGAAATGGGGAAAATCGTAAGCGCGATAGCCATATGAGCCACGAAGACGATCGCGTTCATAAAACTCCCCAACCAAAGGAAATATCCGTGAAAGCTCTCAACTTTTGTCAAAGTCAAAGTGTCTGTAAAAACTAAAAAGGTACGATATCGCCATAACTGTCCAGGAGTCCAAAGAAATAAAACCAATGTGAACTGACACCGCAATTAAGTGCAATGAGGAATGAGGATCATAGCACGCACGAAACTATCTAGCACGACTAACATGATATCCATTTCATTAATATTTGATAAATTCGTGTTGCAATGAGTGCCACAAACTTCCTCATGACAACAGAAGGGAGCCTACCCCGATAGTAACAAATCAAGATACAAATTCTGGGTGTTTTGCTAGGCTTCTCTCCTGTTTTCCTCAAAATTTTGAAGCACATTAGTGGGTCTGTGAGTTGTGACGGCCAGACGCTAGTGATCAGCTCACCTGAGTGAAAGTTATTCGTCATGTTCATCTCCTCCGGGATCTGGTTGAAGTTCTCGAACACGATCGGTTTGAAGTGTCGGCGGATGACGCGGTTGGTGACCACGTTGATCGGCGACTGCCGCTGGCCGCTGCACTGGCTGTAGCCCAGGTGGGACCACTTCTCGGGACCTGCACGTGGCCAAAGAGGAAAAATCAGCCGCCAATTACGAGCAGAACAGACTCGTTTCTTGTCCAACAGCAACCGTGTGTTGACTTTATCAGTGGCTTGAAACCTGACACAAAAAGTGAGCATGCTCAATGCACAAATAAAAACCAGTTCCTTAGACTAGACTCGCTTATGAGCAGTCACGAACGCACGACATGCCAATATGTATGGATATATATACATGCCCACTCACCAGCCTCTCCGTCGTAAGACCAGCTGTGGTCGTCATCATGGTCATCTTCGTGAGAGTCCTCATCAGAGTCGGATTCGTGACCGGCCGTGTCGTGCTCTTCCGGTGCGGGAGGCTCCGCCTCGGGAGCCTCCACTCCGGCGGTTTTCACCTCGTGGACTTCTGCAAGAGGAGAACAATGTGAGAACAACGGAAAACTAGATGAGATAAAGGCAAAAAGGATTTCGACATAGGTAAACTTAGCATTGCGTCGCCAGCTTGGGGCGATGTTATGTCCGTGGGCAGCGTTCAGAGCATTGCCGCTGTGTAACCTGCCTGGCCGTTGGCTGTAGCCCCATCGGTCGTCGATGCAATTAAATCCTGGGGTATCAGGAGCTGTCTTGGACCGTGCCGTGGGCTCACATGACCCCACGCTCCGCGACCCGACAGCCGCTGAGAAGCTTAGTGCAATTGGTTGTCTGTCGGAATCCGGGACGTACCAGTACGGCCACGGAACTGGACGGTACTTACAAGTGGCGCAGGGAAAATGTCACACGAGTCACACCGCGGAGTGCGTTTTCGCATAGAGCAATATACCATACAAGGTATAGTCAATTCGGACTTTACTATTATAAGCATATTGAAGTGTTGCTTAGAAAAAAATTGTTTTTTAGCAAGCGATACATCATTTCTGCTAATAAAAAACAATGACAGTTTTGCATGATGCATCACATCACATACGTATAACAAAGCTATATATAGTCCAGTCAGTAGTGTCCCAGCTTTATTTTCTACGAGGTAGAGTGTTTTTAAAATAGGTGAAGCATTTTTAAGTTCGTGTCCTAAGGTGAAGCAACATCACATAAATACAAAGCTATATATAGTCCAGTCAGTAGTGTCCCAGCTTTATTTTCTACGAGGTAGAGTGTTTTTAAAATAGGTGAAGCATTTTTAGGTTCGTGTCCTAAGGTGAAGCAACATCACATAAATAACCGCGAGCCAAGAGTGCATTTGATAACACGGATTTACCCTATAGGTTGTCAAAGGCCATCACTTACAACGGCGATAGTGTTTCTACTCTGTCCATCCTGTTTCGCCGCCACTAAATTATCGCACTACTCCATAAAATCTGACCCTCACTAGATGGTAACAGGAAGGAGAACTGGTTCCGAGGACAATGCGAGGACAGCTTCTTGTTTTTGCGCGTTGCCTGCGCACCGAGTGTAATGACGATGAGAGGGTACTGGGCAGATGACTTGGTGCACCTCAAAATGGCCGATCATTTTAATCACTGACCTTGAGCGTGCCAGCGCCCTTAGTTACCCTTGTGTCCTTCAGCTAAAATATGGCCTCTGTAGCCAGCCACCTCTTTCTTCATCTGGACATTCTCCTGTCACAGAGGTGGTCAAATTGACAAGTTTTTGTTGAATGTCACAAACTGATTTACAGCACGTGACCATCAATCACGAAGGATTGGCCTCTGACCAGCATGGGACAACTTTTTGTGACGGGACACTGCCCTGCACTGTAAAAAAAACTTACAAGCCCCTCGTAGAGGAATTCTCAGCGCAAAAATAACATTGCAGGAGCGTGTAAATTTGGCTAATTTTAGGCTAGTTGCCGAGTAACAAGCTTGTTCGACAAGGCTGTGCCTCGTATGCATACGACCACCGTGCTCCACCTAGTTTGACAACACGCACGTAAATAGCGTGGGTAGTGCGTCTACTAGGTGTCATAATAGCCCCTGCCTGGTAAGGTAACTAGCCACTGCCTACTAATCCATACCCAGTAATTGTACTAGCCCCCAAGGCTAGTAGTGGTACTAGCTCAAGGCCAGTAGTGGCACTAGCTAACTAGTACCACTACTGGCCTTCGGGGTCGAGGCACTGGGTCGACGGAATTCCGTCGACGGAATTCCGTCAACCAGTGCCCCCGACTCTCGACCGCCACCCGCAAGTAAACAGACTGAGTAGCGCTGCAGCACATTTATTCGGGCACGAGAACGAGAACGAGAACAATAACAACGCGAGGACAATAACTATAACTTTAACAATAACAACAACAACAACAACAACAACAACAACAACAACAACAACAACAACTAACTGAATAATTTGCAATCAGGTTTCTTAAATAACCACCATCAAACATTTGTGATTTTTCATTAGCTCTGCACCGGCGGCAGTCGCGGGGTGGAGGTAGGCCAGGACTATGTACATGGCCCCATTCTTTACCAGAGAAGTCTGTAATGGGTGAAAAAAACGAATATTAACATTATTATTATCATAAGGCATACCAATCTGGAAAATGATTAAATTAAAGTTGAATAAAGTGATATATTCCTGCCACAAGCTAGCTTACGTCCCAAACATATAGCTATTCTGACTTGGATAGACGATACCGGCGCACTTCTGCCAACGACGGGCAACATTATGCGATACTATACATCTTCTAAGAATCTCAACAACATAATAACTTTTGTTTACAAATGGACTACCTTTTTGTTGAGCACACAGCAAATGATACAAGATGCCTCACCTTCAATCAAGCCAAAGAGCAGTTGGGCAGACACACACAGTAATGGCGACGCAACACAAAATGGACGCCGGCTCCCGGATGTGGGGGGGGGGGGACTCCTTCTGAAAGCAGCCACAGACTCCTAGGTTGTAACATGCGACGAGGGTAGCTATGAGGCACATCCTCATAGCCATCCGAAGCCGCTTACCACGCAAGCTTACCAACACGTTTACCAGCTGCAGGCGTTCGTGACAACAAGCGGGGTTGCACGCAAGGTTATCCGTTTAGTAGGTGCCAGCCGGGGCCTCGTCAGCTGAGCTAATAGCAAAATGACCTAATTGAGGGACACGCCAAAAACTGGCCGAGAACAAGCCAACGGCGGGTAACACTGTGAGGCTGTGCGTAGTTCATTAACATTGCGCAAAATTAGGTTCCTGAACATGCTCTCGCTCGTAGGCATTTGTTCCACAAAGGGCATTGTTAACGTGCATGGCTCTGACTACTAATGTCCATATATGTTGTAACGAGGTGCAAGGGAGGCACTCGTAAAAAATGCCTAATTTCAAAATTAGCTAGTGAATTTTTTTTACAGTGTATATAGCCCCTTGTCTGTCTCAAAATACCTCTAATCACAGGCGGAAGAGAAATTTGGAGCATTTACACCTAGCGTCCGAAATTGACATTTCCCAATTTTCTTCGCGCAGAAAGAATTAGGGTATTTGGATAAGGAAAATATAGTTACCTACTACTGAACATCAAGGCATAAGGAAGTGAAAGTCGAGGAGTTTTTCGAAAAGTAAACATTTTTGCGGAGTATGTTTTTCGCCGCCACTTTTCAAGTTTCGCCAATGCACCTTTATGATATTCCAAGCCTTGTGCCTTGCTAGCATCGGACCCGTTCCGGTAAATAAATAAAATTATGCACCACAGCCAGCCCATAAAACGTCGTTCAATCGACAAAGGCCTAAGCGATTCGCCGCTGCCAAGCATTCCTTGCCAAAGCAGGATGCACGCATAATCCGCAGAAAAAATAGGGCCGAGTTATTATGCCAGGCATGCCAGATCATCCTGCAGCCAGAACTGGCCTGCACTCAGCCTATTGCTGCTTTATATTTCGAGTGAAGTTGTTTGATGGATAGCTCCCTTCGTTCCGACCAAGAAAACTGGGGTAGAGCAAAAAGATATGTGAGTATACTTCAGGTGAAATATTACCTACCTTGGTATGCTGTAGGTACTTAGCTGACCTCGTCAATTGTTAAATTGAAATGGCGCATGTTGGACGCCTTCTTTCAATTCTAAGAGAAATGTCGGAAATGTTAAAAAATAGCTGTTATACGACATCGGAACTTATGAGCAGCTGACTGCAATCTGCAATCCATGGCACTTTTGAGAGCATATACACTGTAAACTCATTTCAACAAACGTTTGTTACTTTTACAAGGAAAATTATTTAGCGCAAATCCCCGCACCCTTTGCCATGTCATCGAATGACCCTATTGTTTGTCATGGTAGTTGTTCTTACAACCCACTCACATGTAGTTCGTTAGACTAGCTACCAAAGTTTGCTTTGTCATTGTTGTGTGAACGACTGTGTTCCTAGTTATAATCATGCGGCTACTAGGTAAAGACCTGCGCATGTTTGCATTTAACAGGGCTGAGCCGTGTACTTGTTAAGCCAAATCAATGCAAATCTTAGTTAGCGTAGTAATGTCTACGTGCAGCAAACCTGTACTTGTAAGCCATCTACTAGTCTCAGGCTTGTAACGTTTTACAAAGCCCTCCCTTGTATTCGTCAGTTTTCTCCACAAATCGCAGGTCGCCGCTCTGCAGTCTCATTATTACAGCAAAACAGCATTACTGAAAGTATGTAGGTCATGTATTTAAAATGGTACATACACATTACACACACAATGGTGATGACAACGATGACCCAAGGGGCAAGGGCAATAACATGCGAAAAGGCAATGAGCGTCATCACTTACCGAGTACACTGTAGAATCACACGTTTACATGCATTAGGTTTGAGTTAAGATAGTCAACTTGGGTTCCCTGCCCCGCAATAACTGGTTTGGGGACTCGCAACATCGAGGAATGCCTTGATTCGGAAATAGGTTATTTCTAAGTCTGCGGAACACGAATTTAGGGGGCAAACCTATTCGAATCTAAGGGGCATTCAAATTCATTAGCCCCTTGGAATTCAGGTGCTTTTTCATTTTTAGACTTCTTGAGTTTCTGCAGTTTGCTGTCTTCAGTGTAGCGACCCTTGCTTGCAAGCTGGAGCTTTCGCTCCTGATGAAAGCCTGAAAGAAAGCATCGCTACATTATAGTAATGCAGAACAATATGGCCTGGAGCAGAACACATTGTGCTTACTTCCATACATCACGCACTTATCCAGCAAATTTCTCTGATTCAATCTGCATTACTATCAGTTGAAAGACATACATTTCATTAAAAAATGACAAAAACGACCGAACACTGTTATCACCTACCATTTTCACCGAACACTGTAAAAAATATTGACGAGCTATGTGTCAAAACAAGGGTCTCGAAACAGTCACCAGGTTGTCAATGCTTCCGGTACCTACCACTTGACTAGTTACCGCTTAGTTAGCTTACAGACTGAGAACTATCCAGATCGTTATGATCCGGTATTGTAATGATATCC